AAAAAAAAAAAAAATTCTCATTAAAAATGCTATTTCATATTCCAGCTTTCATTGTGGGACTAAAAAAGCAAAACGATGAAATCTGTGAGGGGGAACCTTTCCTCACAGCAGGCTAGCATTGTTGCAGTCAGACAGGTGGTGGTTAGTGTAAGGCATGGCTAAAACAAACCCTGGTTTCCAGCGTTTTGTTGGCTCATCCATCCATCACAGCCTCTACCTTCTGCACACGTTGTGCCTTTTTTCCTCTGTTGCTCCGAGTAGAGAAGAGTCATTATTCATACAAGCAGAGGATTTGTCACCACAACATGGACATTTCTCATTTTCGGATATCTCCTAAAGCAGCTGATTCTATTGTTTTTCCTTTGGCAGTCTCAATTACAGAGACTGTGGCCACTTTTCATCAAGCAGAAAAATACTTTCCAGACACAAAAACAGTAGAAAAGTAAACAATGGAAACTCTAAACAAAACTCAAGACAAAACCAAATGGTTAAAAAGCGGTTTGTCTAAGTTACCTTTAACACAAAATGCTTGTTAAGGTCTATTTGTTTCTTGGAGGTAAAGTTGAAAATGTTCATCACGAGAGCTTCAGCGGAAGAAATATTCACATCCACTTTTTTTACTTCAAATCAAAGCTAAAAGGGGAGGCATAACTGTGAAGTGGTAGGAAATGATAACTTCTTAGAATATCAGTTTTTAAGTCCTTGCCCCACACTCCCAGTTGGATTTATTTCTGAACTTTGACTAGACCTAAAGTTAAATTTTGGTCTCTTTGGCCAAGAGCTCAGGTCTAATGTGGCAAACTGAAAACAAAATGTTGTCCTGGATTTTATTTTGGGACATTGACTAGAAATGCACATCAGACTTTAAAGCTTATTTCCATTTCAATATTGTTTTCCTTCTCCTTAAATGTATCAAGATAAAATCGCAATTAAAAAAAAACAAAAAAACACTGACATTTTAGTGCATAAATTAACAAAACCTCAGAATTTATCATGCTTAAAACTGCTGTAAGGTTCTCTGTAAATTTGAGTTTAAGCAATTCAGAGGAGCACTCTGACCATCATATATTGCATGACTGAGAAAACAAATTACGCTTCAGGCAGTAAAGTGGCTCTTTGGTCAGAGGGCGCTCCTGCAGGGCCATCAGACTGATTATGTGAATGGGACATGGTTTGAAGCCACAGCCGCTAAAGTGTGTACAAAACACACTTAATCAGATCAGATTGGAGTTGCCATTGGTTGCATTTTAACCTTAATCACCAGCACGTTAATATGAAAACATCAGCATAATTACAGTAAACAAACAAGGAGCTTGTTGCAGTGTATCATGCTTGGTGCTTTTCCTGCTGTATAGATACGAGTGCATCATAACTCCAGTCCAAACATATACACTCACATTAGTGTGATCTGTCCCCAAAACTCATTTTGATAAATGATAAAACTACATAATGATAAATAGATGCTAAATTCATTCTGAGCTGAGATAATGCCTGTTGTACACCAGCTTTAAGAGTTAAAAATATATTTTCACAATGGAAACTTCATGTTTTAGCTCCAGTTCTTGTGCCAATTATCCTGTTGGTTATCTGAATGTTTGTATCCAGGAAACCTTCACATTTTTAACTGGATTTAGCAAATCAAAGTTTAATTGCACTTGAAATAACATGCCTATTAATTTCAATAACACCAACTCTTCTGGATTTTAATCCTGCTTATTATGCTGTTGCCACTGGCGACCCTAACCAATAAATATTAGATCATTAAAAATATACGAACAATGTTACACATTTTCAGATTAGTTTCTATTAATACCATTAACAATGTCTTTTGGATATAAGTAATATAAGAGCAAGTTTTATAAATTAGTCTCTATTTTTCCTCCATCCTGTATTTTCAAAGTCTGGTGTGCAAATCAAGTTTTAATACCTTTTATACTTAAATAATAAACATATTGAAACATATCCAAATTAGTAGATGAACTGTACATAAAAAAAAAAAAAACTATTTGAGGAAACTTCAATAGTGGCGAATAAAAGAAAAAAAAATCAACTGCAGTAAGAGAGCAGATGAAGCATCAAATTGTAGCTTAAACAGCATTTAAAAGATTTGAAAGTCAGACATTCTCCACGCTTTAACCCCAACACAAAGTTATTCTAAAGTAAAACATGTATTTCTATCTTCAAGCACGCGTTTGAGAAAATGTGCGGTGTTGTGACCCGCTCCTGGTCGTTAGCTGGTTCTCCTCTGCACTATTTATAGAAAGTGTGCGGTCTGGTCCCCCAGCTGTACACCTGGACACTAAACAAAGGTCAGCGTCTGGCATTCAAAACTAGTCGCATCATTTTACAACCTCCAGTCGAATTACTCCCCTACATTCACTGCAGGGTCTGTGGACTTTGGAGACATGCAGTCGTTTGATTAAAACACAGAAAACCTGTTCCTTCTTGTTGCTGGAATCAAACTGTTGTTTCTCTCTGTTTGCATGCTTGCTTTTTGCAGCCATATGCAACGCAGCTTTTCTCACTTCCATGTGTCGGCTCTTGTTTTGACTATAGATGTGAGAGTGTTTCATATCGCTTGCACAGGCAGGAATCACTCGGTTGCTATGGTATCATGTAGTGGCAGTTTCTACCGAATGAACCTAAAGTGAACAAAGAAAACTCCTGACCCTGATGTAAGGAAGCAGACAGCCGGCAGATAGTGAAGACATGTGAGGCCAAGTTTTGTTTCAGTGATGATTTTGCGGAGAACTGCAGTCGGATCTGAGATGATGAAGTATCTGAGAAGAGGGTTGTACGTTTACCAGGTTGCTTACTTAAACATAATTAGTCAGGAGAGAGAAAAAAAAAGACAAGTCTAGACGAGCACTAGACGAGAAGAGGTGGCTCGAAATAGAAAGGAGCAACTCGTCTCTATGGAAACGAAAGGCAAAAACAGTGGCACACACACCGCCATGAAAGACATGTAAGGGATGAGGGTGAAATAGAGCAAGAGGAGAGATGGGGAGAGAGAGAGAGAGAGAGAGAGAGAGAGAGGAGACGTGGCAGGAAGACAATGAAGGGAGGGAAAGATTGTGAGCTACCAAAAGTGACGAGTGTCACAGGAGTAAATATCGACGTCATTCCTGTCGCTGCTTTTATCCCTCTTTGAAACAACTAATTTCCTTTCAAGCAGACACTCTGGAGAGTCATTTCTTTAGCAATTCACTCATGTTTTAGTGACTCCCAACATGCCACTGACCAGTAATTACTGAAACACTGACTGTTTTTACTATTATTTTTTATTATTGAACATTACAAGCAATAAATACAACTGTATATCAGAACTTTAAAGGTCAAGAGTATTCGTTATAGTGACATCTAGAGGTAAGATTTCAACACTAAAATCTACAAATGTTTCTCAAAAGATGTAATTTTAGCATTTCAGTTCAAAAAGTAAAACTCTCTCATGACTAATGAAAACCACAATTCAGTTCTTCAGAAACTATGTCATATAAAACTAAAATAATTTTCAATTAATAGTTATTAGCCTACTAAAAAACATGTCCATGCACTGTACAGTATGTAAAATCTCCAGAGTCAAAGGTTTACACAATCAACAATGTTCAGGAATTATTTCAAAGCTTTCTAGATTTTTAACTTTGCTAAATATTCTAATCAACCTGATGAACTTAACACGATGATGTGAGAACAAAAAGACCAACCGAGTGTTTGGATCAAGTCTGACTGCAGCTAAAAGAGATACAAGGAATCAAATTTGGCCTTTAGGAAGCATCATCTGATCAGACAGAAGCTGCTAACAAATCCATTTGACCAAAAAGGGAAAATCCAAGAGCAGGAAAGAGGCCAAGCAAACCTGCTGCAAAGCAGAGCAGCACCAGCACAGACTGAGCAGCTTCAAAGCACTTAAATTCACCTGCTTGTATAATTGTGATTGTAAAATTGAACAAGTTCCTCTGCGTCCCCATCAGGCAGAGACAGAGAGGATCTTTTCTGTTAAAGGTGGAGAATCCTGACATCTTTTGTGACTATTAGTATATGGTTTTTGATCAAACCCAAAGAGAACAATTTTTTCCTCATCTTATTTTAATGGAGACAAATAAAATTCTGTGATGTGAGGCCATGCTGTGGTTTGACACCCTGCCACACTGATTATCCTGGTAATTGTCCAGGCGTACAGGGCCAGCATGCTCGCTAAGCGGAACCGGCACCTTTTGAGGCTCTTCAGAGAAAAATGACGAGGCTGTTTCAGGACGTGGTCTTATTGTGATGTTGCCCAGCTGACTATCCGTCTGACTTTGGTTGTTGATTTAAGCATTGTGTTGTTGATTGCAAGAAAAAAAACGATCTGAAGATGTGTCAAAATCTTACAGGTCCAAGTGGTTCACCAAGAAAAAATGGAGGAATTAAGTTTATCTTTTAAAAAAATATTTCAAAAATACTTTTCTTTGCATATTTTTTTTTCATAGCAATTGATGTTGGTAAATGTGGAGCTGATGATTTTGTTTTTCTTCAAAAAAGTAATATGTTTTTGTTTTCCTAATCTCATAATTCTCAGAGTGAGATTATAATACAGCAATAAATGTAAAAAGAATTGGAAGATGTTTCTGGATCTCGGCTGCTCCACTTAGACATGATATTCCATCTGATGAGATTAATTCAGCTGTGGAAACATCTGCCCAGAATTTACATTATTAATGGTGATTAACATCTTTCCACACGTTACTTAATCTGACATCATTTGCAGCTGGCATAATTACTCATGAACTTTTCATCATTACAACCACACACATCTTAATGTTTTTACTTTAATAAGCCATCAGAAATTAGTGCATAATGGTAGAAAAAGGAAATAATACTCTGGTTTCTAAATAAGAGAGATCAGCACTTAAGTTCCTGCTTAAGACTGGCAAAATATGAAGGCGATCGAGGTTGTCAACACTTTTACAAAGCATCATAGTTCACCTCATAGCTGCTAAGTAAAGGTTGTGTATTTGCAGGCATCACTACAGTGCTGACCATGACCACCCTGAGCACAGTGGCCAGAAACTCCCTACCCAGAGTCTCCTACGTGACGGCCATGGACCTGTTCGTCACCGTCTGCTTCCTGTTCGTCTTTGCCGCCATGATCGAGTACGCCATGCTCAATTACTACTCCTACAGTATACGCAGACCGCCTCCCAAGATGCAGCGAATGGTAAGTCTGCATTGTGCAATAATACTTTCTGATATCTGCTACACGCAGGGCTCTTTGTGCAGAGCCAAATCAGCTTTTGAAGCATGCATCAGTGCCTTTCATTTAAATATTCCTGTAATGTTTCCAAATAGTGACATTGCTAAACTAGTCCAACTGATGCTCCTATCTGCTGTTGCCTTGTCACTCACTGGACCTCAAAGGGAAACAAGATGTCCACTAAAAGACACTAAGCAGCTACAAAGGGGCAGAAAAAGGCAACAGAACAGGGGAACCAAAGGGAAACTACTACAAACGATATTAGAAACACAAAGAAACCGACCACAGAGAGATACAGAGTGCAGACATGACAACCCCGAACCATATTGTGTGCCTGCGTGGGGGGATAGGGAAGTCACTGGAATTTTAATGAAGATAATTAACATGACAAACAGTACGGACTTTAATCAAATATCTCAAAACATTGCTTTCGTGGCTGCCATAGCAACTTCAAAGGGCGATTAGGACTCTAAGTGATCATCCATAGCGTGTATGAAATGCTGCTAAACATAACAAAAGAAGGGGAGAAACTTCATCAACATGCAGTTGAAGCTGGAGCTGGATATTACATACTATAAAAAGACAATCTTTATTTTCTCCCTCCGTCTGACACTGAATCAGAAACCTTTCATGTTTTAGGTCATTTAGGGTTAGAATTGATTTTCTTTGCTAAATGCCATAAGTTTACATACATTTCCTCCTCACAAGCTTCAAGCAATGACTGCTGGATTTCCTCCTGATAGAACTGGTACAAGTTTGGCTGCCTTGTTCACAGAAACCTCTAGATACTTCAGAAGATGGACTTTGTTGTCCTTAAGCCACTTTGCAACTAATTTGTCTGCATGATTGAGATCACTGAACATTTGGAAGACTTGTTGAAGCAACATGTAAAGATATCAGACAAGAAGTAGAACCTACAACCAAAGTGACTACAAAGTGGCTTAAGGACAACAAGTTAATGTTTTGTTGTGTCAGAAATGGATCAGAACTCCAGCAAACGATTGTGAGAAGCTTGTGCAAAGAATGCCAAAAAGTTTGATCAAAGTCATACAGTTCAAAGGCAATGCTACCAAATACTGAGCATGTATGTAAACCTTTGACGTTACCAAATAAATTTGACATATCCCCTGTGTTACTATTGTGCCATTTAGCAAACAGAAATAATTTGGTAACCGACCTAAAACAGTAGAGGTTAGACTTTAAAGCATGACTGTCTGGTTTGATCTGTTCCCTTCCCATGTGATCTACTATTTGTAGCAGCACCATCCATCATCTATGAACAACCTTTTTGAGGCTGCAGAAACTGCTCCTGAGCCCTTGCTAATAATGTCTTCTGCTACACATCATTCTTTCAAAAACAGATATCGATTCCATCCGTATGATGCGCCATCTGTCTGTGCATCCAGCTCACTTCCCAGGAATCTGACAAGTCTTTATGAACACCTGTGCTCGGTTAAAAAACATTTCCTCTCCAGTCTTCGCCCCTCACGCTGTGCGTGGGCGTCCTCCAAGGCTGTACCTGCCGCGAGTGCCTTAATGTCGGCGGCACACACGCACTCGAATTGAGTCAGCTGCCGCCGCCGCCGCCGCTGCTGTCATCTCTTCCTCTCTCCAGATCTGCTCCCTATTCATTATTTCCTCCTCATGTGGAGGAGTTCTGCTCAATGTGTCTCAGGGCCAAAACCACTGTCAGCTTGGACCGAACAATTAAGTTGCCTTTTATCCAGCCACCCTCTTCTGGGTTTTGGCCGATCCTGCGTGTTCCCACCTCGTCCCCCTCGTGGGCATCTTTTCAGTGCCCACTCAATCAATTCTCCATCGCATGCCACTCGTCCCTGACCGGAGAAGGAAAGGGGTTTTAAAATACATCTCAAGTCCCACCTCATATTTCCTGTTCTAAACCTTTTGACTACAGTCAGTGCAGGTTTTATAAAGCAGCGATTTGACTTTTGATTTTCTGTTTCTAATTCAATTTGAGCTTCTAAAAAGAAAGCTTTGAATGTGAAATTGTATTTCTGTTGTGGATCAGTTTTATTGATGGTTTGTGTTGGGAATGTTTTTACCATCTGAAAAGAAATTTGTCTATTTGGTGATTGTATGAAACGACCCACGTGTGTCAAGGATTTGTTTTCATGAACTCAGTTCATTTGTCCACACAGGCTCTTCTCAAGCTAGAATACAACAAAAAGGTTAAAGTGCAGCTCAGAGAGTAAAGGTTGTACTCCAGATTCACTGCTCACAAGAATATCTCAACTGTTTATTTCAATTCATTGTGATTCTTATGGTTTGTGGCTGTGGAAACACAAAATCTACTATTACCAAGACTGATGAGAAACTATTTAATGCAGAAAGCATGTCCTTGTACCGTATAGTGTGAATTAGTTCAGGTGTTTACTTTGCAGCAGTAGCGGCATTGAGCTGAGCTCTGATGTTTCACATCTTCATCTGGTTCTCTGGGGTTCGGGTCAGGCCAGATGGCTGGTCAATCAAGCACAGTAACACCGTCAGTATTAAAGGAGGTGGATTTTTTTTGGTGTGTGTGGGCAGGTGACGAGTCCTGCTGGGAAATAGAAATCAACACCTCCATAACACTTGTCACCAGGAGAAAGCATTAAGTTCTCCAACACTTCCTGGTTGACGGCTGCTTTAACTGTGGATTTGATTAAACACAGTGGACCAGTAGGAAATTGATTTCCAGCAATTTGTCTGCAGCTCAATTAAGACGAGTTGAGAATCGTCTGTTTGGCAGCTGTGCTAAGGCTTTTACAAGGCGATACGTTTAAAGGAATTTTGGCCAAAATGATTTTTGCAATCATTGTGTCCCGTCTTGTTTTAATTAGTTGCTCATGCACAGCGGATGTAGAGCTTGTTAAAGCAGATGATTGACTGTTTTATAGTAAACTGTTCACAAAATGCAGTTGCAGAAAACCACAGACCATTTATAATCACATTTGTTGCAAAATCTATTACAGAAGGTAACAATTATAGAGGTAAATCCAGGTTAACAAATTGGACTGTTTGACCATGTTGTACTTTAAGAGGATCCTTTAATATTCAGTTAAGTCCAACTCTAACATGTTGTGAGTTACTCATCTTGTGAATGGATTCTTAGAAGTGATACTATTTGGATTTTCCCCATTCTGTGTTGCAGGCCTACTCATCCTTCAACATGGGTCGCACACCTCGAGCCATGATGCCAATGGGAAACTCTTTGTTCTGGCACGACTACGACGACAACTGCCTGTACGAGTGCCTGGACGGCAAAGACTGCAAGAGCTTTTTCTGCTGCTTTGAAGAGTGTAAAGAAGGCGGCTGGAGGAAAGGACGGATCCACCTCAACATCCAGGAGCTGGATTCCTACTCCCGGGTGTTTTTCCCCACCTCCTTCTTGCTTTTTAACATAGTCTACTGGGTCAGCTACCTCTACCTCTAGTCTGATCGGGCGGCCATCTTTGGACCCTGCTGGAGCAGCTCTCATCGTATCCCACCGAGACTGGAGACGTGAGGTCTCAACCAAGTAGTGGAGGAAATTAGCTGGATCTGCATTATGGGAAGTTTTTACAGACACACTTCTTCAAGGGTGATTATTTTGATGGCCAGGATTTTTAAAAAATGGCTTTACTTCTCTGTCAGGATGGAAAGACTGATTTTATAACTCTTTGAGGAAACCAAACTGTGACTTGAGAGAAGTTCGGGGACAGGGTTGCAAAGCTGAATCTTGGACATCGAGATAGCCAAGCACCCATAGTGCCTTCTCTGGAAAGGGTGCGGCAACAAAGTATGCGGCTTCAGAGTTCCCTCCGTTTTTCTTTTCCACCTCATCAGTCACCATTCCGCATGCTGAGCTGTCCATCTACCAACGAAACCAACCTGGATCACAGTTTTTCACAAATGGACATGTTTAAAGTTATTGCTTTTATTTTGTAGCAGCTTAGTTTTAGTTCTATGCTAGAATTAGTTATTTTCCTATGGTAACATTTCTCTTTTCTTATCAAGCTGGACATGAGTTTACAGCAACACCAATGCATCAGTCAGCTGTTTAATACGAGTCGGCAGCCTGTTGTTACTGATGTTTTACGACCACGGGATGCAGTTTACAACATTCTTACGCAACAAATGTATACCAACCAAACTAAACTTACAGCCCTGGGAATATCATGTATCTTTAAATACACAAATAAGCTTAGCTATAGGAGTGCTTTCATTCAGAGCAGATATTTAGTTACTCTATTAAATATGCTTATTTAGATTTTTCTACTGTCATTTTTAATTTCCCAGTCTCTTTGTAAATGAAAAGTTTGACATTTTGGGAGGTTTTTGTTTATCAGGAGTATGGCTAACTCTATAAAAGCTCAACTTCTATATTTCCATGTGTTTTGTTCTGGATTTAGCTCTACTCCTGAAAGTAATCTTCATTTCAACACTTACACACTCCAGAAATTCACAAATGAGATAAATTACTAGATTAGGAAAACCTTTCATCTACAAAAGACAATCAGAGAATCTGGTAATTTATTATAATATTCCTCACATAACTTTTTGTTTCTTCTGGTAATTTGATTGCCTATTTACAGTGACACATTATGAGTATCTATGGTAAAGGTATTTTTTTCTGTGCGATGGTTGTGAACTTCAATGTCTAGAACGAAGGTGAAGATAATATTTTTGCCACGTTTTATGGGAACTGTGTGCCACGTGAACTGTGATTAAACTTGAACTTTTAAAGAAAAGTATTAGGCTACTTACTACCATTTGGACCAAGGTTTAGACATTAGATTTAGTAACTATCTCTGACTGAGCCTGATTGAGCATTAGCAAACCTTTTAGCTGAACCTTAAAGACGTTTTACCGAAGCTAACCAAACAGCTAACTTCACACAAATGGTCAGAACTCTATGAAGTAAAATTGGAATAAACGTAGTAGTCTTTAGCACCAGGTGAGGGGAACTTTGAGTGAAAAGTTAAAATTAATACCCATTTGATTTACTAAACAATCTGTGCCTCGAAAAAGTGTCTGCTGCATCGTTGATTTCTTCAGTTTATGCTTTTTATACTATTTTTTTAGATCTATCTAAATAGAACCTATTTTGCAACATTAAGTTGAAAAAGCCACCAATTATTCTCCTACCTAAAGATATGAAAGAACGGAGAAGATAATTGACATTTATTCATCTGTGAAGGGTTAAAAAACTATTGAGATGACTTAAGATCTCGTGGTACAGAGGATAATGTCTAAAGCCCTGCAGGCTTTCCTTGCCTCAGGTAAAGTCAGCATCTATGATCTAACAATATTTGAGAATCTGAAGGAAATCTGAAGTAGGTCAAACTACTACTAACCCAAAAGGAAAAGACGATCCACTAAATGGTCGTTTTTTGGGGAAATTGTTCTGACTGACAAAATGTCCTAACAGCTGTGCCTCTCATTGCATAAAAAACACAACCTACCCTTAAACATGTTGGTGGCAGTGTGAAGGTCTTTGCTGCTCCAGGAACCGGGCCTCGACTGGAACCATGGACTTCGATCCCCTCCAGAACCTTCAAAGAAGAATGCAGAAACATCAACTCATAACTTCAGGCTTAAGCACATTTAGGTTTGTCAAAAAGAAAAGTAAAAACGTTTTTACATTACATTTCTTCACAGTAATGTAAGACACTCACAAATAACACTCTTCCGTTATGAAGGGGTTGAAAGACAACAGCTAGCAGCAAGAATTAGATTTTAAATCCCTAAAATAACACGTCAGATTGGGCCATGGGTTCACTGAGATAGTAGTAGATAAACGCTTTCTGATGGTGCCGTTTGCTTCCCAGCAACTTCTTCAGCCACATAAATAGCTTTGTGTAATGGTTGCGTGCACCGGATGCATTTCTCAAGTAAATAAAATTAGCAAGGAATGAAGAAACAAATTTATGACAACCAAATCTGATTCCTGGTGCTGAAAATAGAAGCTCGTAGTGAAAATCCGGACATTTAGACAATATAAAAACCCTGTTCTGTGTATGTACCAACGTATCAAGTAAGCAACATTTAACAACAGTGTACCTACTGATGCCTCCTTCCAGCAAAATCAAACAAAGCTCCGTTCTTCAAGATAAAATTAAATTACTGCACTCCTATTTCCATCAAGGACCTCATACCAAAAAATATCCATCTAATAAAAATCAACCAAAATCTCAGGAAAGTTTTCAAACTCCTTGTTGAATCTGTGCCACAAATGATTAACCAGTTCAATCCATACTAGCAGGGTGTACCTAATACAGTGGCCAGTGAGTGTAGGTGTCTAATATTGCCCATGTGTGATACAAGAGACCCCAAGAGCCCTTGGAGTCCCTCAGAGGCAGCGGTGGTTTTGACAAATGTCACTCTTAGACGCCGCAAGAATGAGAATGACTTTATGCAGCTTAACCTTTGCCACCGAAATATTACACTGGTTTTCTTCTCCAAACCTCAGCAGCAACACAGATCTCCCCGACAAAATGTCAAACTATTTATTTAAAAAGCCCGTAAGCTGCCGTTGCGCCTGCAAACGGTGGGAACTGACTTTGAAGGACGATAACAGTCGTCCATCCCAACACAAATGCAAACGCGGGAGACCCTGTGCTGCTCGAGTTCACCAATTTGAAATGATTAGCTGCCATATGTTGTGATGCTCCACGTTCACATGGTGCACAGGGCAGAGCTGGAAATGGATGATACGGGATGTTTGCTGATGGCTCTTGATGGAGTCTCTCCGTTCCCTCCTCAAACAGATAAAACCCGCCGCCATATGTTTGTGTGTGGACCCAAACGTTCAGGCAAACAAGCGGACGGTGCCAGCGTGATCTGGAATCTGTCTTTGGTTTTTGTTGACTGTTCTATGGCGTTTCTTGCGGTTTTTTGGCTTCGTAGAACAATCAACCCGTCTTTTCTGTCCTCCTTCCCGCACCGACACACTCTCCCCGGTATCCGAAGCTTTTCTGTGAGATGTATCTAATTAATGTTTCTATTTTCATACAGTTATGGAATGTATGTTAGGCCAGTAGCAAGGCTGGAGTCGGTCTGGTTACAGTTCAGTCAGTTCGTGCCGCGTAAATTAGTCTATTTTTAGTGGGGCTTGCATATTCATAAAGCCTCCATACCCATTTGTGTCCTGTCCAGAGACTTGTAATGGAAAATAAACCCGCTTTGAGTGTTGCTAGATGAACAGCAGAGGGGCTGTTACGCTGTGGGCCATTACTATTCTGCTGATTTACAGATTAACTCATGAGACAGTGGCATTTCATTAGTATTCAGCATATTCATCTCCTTAGAACTGACTGAACTAGCCAGAGCTTGGCCAACACCGCAGTAAACTCTCCTCACCTCTGGTATTTCTACTACACTTTATAAGTGTCTTAGTCTGTTGAGATACTTCAATAAAACAAAAAAGAAATCACTATTTTCTACGTCTCAATGGACATCACCTTGTCTGTATCAAGCGGCAGGAACCTGTGTTTGTAAAAGCTCTGTGGAGTCTGAGCGCTAATCCAAGATCAGCCCTGGTGAGCTTAATGAAGTCGCTGGAGCGGCCGCCTTTTCCACCAGACCTCGTCACCCCCATTAAGGTCTGCTTGTGTCAAAGCTGCAGAGTCGGTCCCATCGAGGCGGCAGAAAATCATGTATTACTGTTTTGTTTTTTTGTTTTTTTTTTCCCCCTCTCCCACAAAGCAATTTGCTCGTGATCGTCAGGGAGACGGCTGGAGGGCGGGGCAGGGAGCGAAACGCCAATGAGCCACACTGGTCTTGGATCAGCCCTCCCAGAGGAAGCTTTTATGAAAATGGGATCTTGGGTGAAATTAAGCATCTTTTCTATTGTGTAGTATCTTGCTTATATAAATAAATAATGTTTTGGTCAAGTGCGACAGTGAAGTGTTTTTGTCTAAGAATGAAACCTCGAGAGAAAAGTTTCAGTTCAGAAAGACACTTTAAATGAACATCTAATTTTACAGCTGATTGCAACTTGATGAGCATTTCCTTCTGAAAATAACTTTCATCTGCTGAATCCACATTCCTAAATATCTGGACGCACACACAACTAAGAGAATAATTTTATACGAAATCAACAGCAGCAAAAATGACATGGTTTACTTCTGTTGTCGGCAAAGAGCTTTCAGTGTTTTCCCTTCAAGATCTTTTGGACCAAGTTCTGTTTTTTGGGCAGCTTCGTGTTTTCCTGTGTATTTATCTGGCATAGAATAACTATTCTTAACAACATGTACTCCAGCCAGCAGTTTATCACAAGCAATCCAGCTAATATTTGGAAGAACGTGCTCCAGTCCAACGAGGCTTTTTATCTGACACAAGAAACATGGTCAGGGTCGCAATGTGAGAGAAACTGGTGAGTTATCACCATTCATGTGCAGCAGTGCATCGTTATGGATGCACTGGCGCCTCCTAATGGAGGCTTTCTCAACCAATGAAATCACAAACATACAACCATAAGCTACAATTTATCCTTGACGGCAAAAATACTAAATCTTAAAGTATTTTTTTTGTCCAATTTCTAGTGTGAATATCTTCGTACACTGGAAATAAGATAAAACTAACTATTTCCCAAGATACAGGAGCTTGTTTTAAGTCATTAATTCCTTAATGACCTCTGGGCCCTTGAAAGGTTATCATTGAAAGTCTGGATGTTTGCTTCTGTTGTCTAAAAGTATCACTAATCCAATGTTCTGCTGGAAAAGTTCAATTAATCCATCCACAATAAATACAGTGATTTACAACCGTCCTCTGGCTGTCTGTCTGCCTAATAACAATGACGCGACTAATATCCAGTGACAGATGCATGAGCACATCATTGCTTTCACCTCACTTTAGTGACCTAGTTTTCCCCGGCAGCGTGCAGACACAGAGAGGGAGAGAAAGGAGAGGAGTTGCGGGGTGGATGTGAAGGCAGTCGTGCTTCCTTGGCACAGGAGGAAGCTGCTGCCACCTACGCAGTAGCAGGGAAGCAGCCTATAAGGGCGTTTGATATGAAGGGGAAGCCACTGTGCCGCAGAAACCGAGGTTTTAATTCCTGCTGTAGTGAGCTGCGTCTGATAAACCTGGAGGGACTCGACTTAGGTGCTCCGATGGAAACGCGGCTGGCTTACAGCGCGTTGCTGGCGCAGTGATTCAATTTATGAATGCAGGACTTAAAGACAATGTGGTGAGTCGTCCGTTTGGAGAACAGGTTTTGGACTGGAGCAGGGGTTAGATTTATAGTGGGGAGAATAAGTGCTTTATACACTCACTGGTGATTTGTCAACTTTCACCTCGTCTAATTTCCATAAGTCATTTAGATAAATAGTTCCTCTAAGATCACCTTGTATGATTTTAAAATAATTTGCATTGCAAATCAGAATTTGATCACCTTCCAACCACACAGATGTGGTCATCTTTCAAAAGTCCTATAAACTCACTGTAAACTTTTCAAGTGTTGAGCAAAACTAGAGTAGAAACACCATCAGTGCAAAACATTTTGCATCAATTTACCGTCAGAACATTGCAGTGAGAGAGATTCTGGTTTGAATGCCTGGCGCCTTTCAGTCAGACTTTGTCTTATAGTTTGCAAACAAAACAGCTTCCCCTCCATCTCTTCTCAAGGTCTCAAGGTTAGAAACATCAGGTTTTATTATCACAGATCATCTGCACTCAGACACGTCGCCTACTCCCTTCGCTTTTTCGTCTTCCTCTTTACAGACTCTCATTTTCTCTCAGTTCAGCACCAGACAAGGCGCATAATTGCTTTGCATGCCAATTTGAAAAGTTGTTCCAAAGATACGGTAGATTTTATTGATTTTTCTGCCTCAACTAAAGATAATGTTTACTCTGAACTCTGATGGGGAAACGACACGCACATTATCCGAGCTCGACATGGAGGTTTAGAACAACCTGTGGCTTCGTTTTAGTCCGATTTCTACATGAAAACTGATAAAACACTGCAAGTTATCTAGATTAAGAGTTCCTCTGATATTCATTTCATTTCCATGTGAGCATTCGAGCGTTTTGGTTCAGACATCTCTAAAATAATCAACATGACAGCATCAGGAATGTCTTCACTCATTGGACTGACGGCTCCGTCCTGGTCTACTTCCTGTGACTCATTTTCTCCGTCTGATACTAAAATAGTCTTTGGAGAGGGAAAAAAAAACAAAACATCAAAGATAGATTGTTTGGGTGGCAAACGCCAGAGGGTTTCACCAGAATAAAGCGACTTTTAGCTGAGCAGCGAGTATTTAATCATTAATAGAGGCTAAGCGGTAAAGTTGTCACCAAGAATTAGCATTAGCTCCATCCAAAGCCCAGTTCAATACGGTCATGTAGATGGAGAGGGTGTTGTGTTTGGGTCAGCAAAGCTTATATGTAGAGACGAAGCGATCTGATATTCAGAGGTGTTTAAAAATGAAAGTGTAATGAGCCGCTTTCATTACATCTGCAAATTGGATGGAGAAAAGAAAGCTGGTGCCACAAACGGCTCGCTCTGCGGAGCAGCCGGCCCGCGGTTTTATTAATGGACACTCGAGGGAAATCTGTCCGCTGGCCAACTTTGTGTGATTTTAGGCCAACGGCAGAAATGTTTACGAGACAACAGAGGTAAAAAAGAAAAAAAAAAAAAAACCCTGGCGGTTTGTTCAGAGTCTGGATCTCACGCCACACCGCGCTGAAGACTTCATTAAAAGCGAATCCTGTCTCAGCGGCCGCAGAAACAAATGGGCCCTCAGGGGAAATCAGACTGAAATGAGCTTTTTTCTGACATATGCATATACAGAAAAGTATTTGTCCACTTGTAGGTTCTTCGTAATGCTTTTTTGTAAACATTTAAATGCTTGGAAACAAAGATTATAAAAAGTTTGTTTCATATTAATTCATTCAATGACATAAAAAGCTGGGCAAAACAATTGTCTCTTTGGTCAAAAGGTGAAATCAGAGATCAACTAAATAGATATTTGAGTGTGATCATGTTGACTTGTGCAAACAAGAAGGCAAGAAAGAGAGCAAGCAAAACAAAAAGAAACACTTTTCCTCTGAAGGAGAATCAGGAAACCAAAGTCATGTGGATTCCTAAAACTAGAGCAGCATTAGGATTCATCCGCCACCACAGCATGGAGGGGAGTCCAATATTTACTTTCCTATTATGGGGGAAATATCCGCCATCCTTCAGCTGCTGATGGCGCTGCTATGCTCACCAGCTGGTTTCTGTCGGCATCTGGCTGTTTGGTGGACATGCAGAGAGGATTTTAATGTTTTTAATGAATATGGATGCTGCTTTCAGCACCACGGCGATAAAGAGAGGGGGGGCCAAACAATTTGGCTTCTGAGGCGCGAGGAGTAGTTTAAGCCAGGGCTGTATGGAGGCATCGCCACCTCAGACACACACAGACTAATCACTGGATGATAAAACAGTTCACATCACATCTCTGGCTCTTTTTCTTCAGTCCAAATCAACCGAAAGCTCAGCTTCAAGTCAGAATGACATTAAGATCCTAAAGTTACTACAATGTAACATTCATACTTTCATATTTTGAGTATCCAAATTAATCCAGAAAGTGAACAATGAATGAGACCCTCTGACCTTTTCCTATTAAAACATGGCTAATAGATTTCCCCTTCTTCCTGACGGCTCTGAAAACGTTCCTCTGCTCCGTCTCCTGCAGCTTGTGCTCAGTTCTGTTTATCTGTCAGGATTTTGTGCTTCACTGCACCAGCAAATTATATGTAGAAAATATTCGAGGCAGCAGCCCTGACCTGACAGGATTACGGTCACTTGTGTTGGCAAATTTTATCGCTAAGGAGTGCAGTTAACCCACTAGTTTTAGATTCATAGAGTTTAATTTAAAAAAGGCTCATTTATCTCGTTTCCATCCTGTTTGTCTGATTCTATTTCATGGTGTCACATTCCAGATCCTGGTTGGGCTTTAGATTCATGGAGTTAGAGGTTAAATAATAATATTAAAAGAGAATCATTTTCAGCATCAGAGCATATTCTTTGGTATGATGCAAAGAAAAGCAACTTGAACTGGACGTCGTCTTTGAAGAACAAGAAATTACTGAGTTCACTGAATTAATTAAACCGAATATTAAACCTTCTGTCGTCTTTTCCATCTTTTCTGTCAGCAGCAACATCCGGTTGTTGATAAGAACGTGTGTGAAAAAGTGTTTCCATTGCTAAATACGCTTACTGCAGCCGAAAAACTTTATTGAAACACGTGAGGTTTTTTTCAAAATTGTAATAAATTAAGCCAGTTATCAAGAAACTTTAAAATGATTCAGTGTGATTGAGCTTGTATTCGTGTCAAATTGTTCCCGTTTCGCTTAAACAAACAGAACCAGTAACTCAACGGCTGTCAAGTTTAACTGCAGCCAATAAAGTCGGAATAAATTGTTCCCTCACTTTCCTTTGAAGTGCAGCCGGTGTTTTGCTCTTTAAAGTGTGTGTTGGCACATCCTCAGTTTGATTATTCGCAGAAAAACAGCGGCTCAGGGGGTCTCCATTGACCAGCGAAGTCATTACAGCCGAGCCATGAAAAGAAATGAGGAAGAGTCGTCCAAACATCTGCGACAGCTTTGTTAGCCTTTCTGGATCCTGCGAGGGAGAAAATGAGTGGAAGTCATCACGCGCACCAGCTGCCGCCGCCGCCATCGCCGCTCCAACACAACTGATTGTGTTGGATTGTGTTAAACTGTTCGGGATGCGAGCGACACAATTTATAGGGTAATAACGTGCTCAAGTGTTTCCCAAAAGTCAGGATTAAAAAAATGCTTCCCCGCTGGCTGTCCACGAGAAGGATTAAAAAGCATCACGTTGAAAAGGGAACTGATTAGTGCCCTACTTTAGCGAAAAGTTTGAGCCACATTTTCAGTAAAAGGTAGG